CTGCCGCCGAACACGCAGGCGGGGATGCGCCAGCCCGGAAGAAGCTGCGGCTTGATGCTTTGCAAGTTAGTGCACATGATGCAGAAATGTTCCATCTTGATGAATCCATTGAGTTGGTAGACGAAAGTGCAGAGCAATTTCTTGATTGCGAAGATCAGGAAGACAATCAAAGTGAGTGGGCAGAACAGCCTGGTTCTGACCTTGACATCCCGCCAATCTTGATCAAGCCTTTCAGTGAAATCGAGCCGCAGTGCAGTGCATCTGAGCAAGCAGAAATTGATGCTGCAGCAGATGCATTCGAGCTTGCACGCCTCCTGGGCAGCAGTGTGCTTGAGCAAATGCAATCGTGGCAGCCGGGCGACAGGACACTGTCATCCAAATATGTACGCAGCTGGCGTGCTAAAACTTTGGGTGGCGAAAAGAAGTGGTTGAGGAGGTCAAGGTTGGTTGCAAGAGAGTTTGCGCACCTGGACCCAGAGAGACAGCATCTCTTTGCACCGACCACGACGCAGTGCATGCTACGCATCATACCAGCCCTCTTCGTTCGCCACTTCCACGAAGGATGGGCGTTGATGAGCCTTGATGTTTCAGACGCCTTTCTCCAATGCAAGCAAGAGCATGAAACCCTGACCAAAGTGAATGGTCAATGGTACAGGCTGCTACGCATGTTGCCGGGGCAGAGAGACGGGTCGGCTACCTGGTTCCGGGATTTCATGCAGGAGATCAAAACGGCTGTGGAGGCAGAGCCTCTGGCAGAGCAGCCCGTCTTGTTCAGAATTCCAAAGCCAGCTGGGGCAGGCATGGTGCACGTCGACGACATGCTGTGCACAGGACCTGTGAAGCGCTTGGAGGACCTAGAGAGGCACCTGAAAAGCAAATTCAAAGTTTCGGTTGATTGGATCCGTTCAGTAGGAGAAGAAGTAACTTTTCTGAAGAGGCGCCATGTCCTTGTAAGCCCTGAGCTTTTGGTTGTAGAGCCTGACGTTAAGTACTTGGACAAACTTCTTCAAGTAACGGGTTTATCAGGTGCAAAGGCGAGGTCCAAGGCGGCACCGTTCCCAACTGGGGGACTGCCAACCGATTCCGAGCCAGACCCAGAGCTTGATCCGGAGACAGCGACGCGCTACAGATCTGCCTTGGGGATACTCATGTATCTGAGCGTCGATTTGCTGGCATCTCAGTTTGGGATCCGGTATCTCGCGACCCGCGCACACAAGCCTACTCAAGGGTGCTGGAAACTGCTAAGGCATCTCACGAGCTATGTGAGTTCCCATCGGTCACATGTGATCGGACTGTCAAAGCCCACCTTGGGAAAGGGGCTGGTGTGCAACCGTGTGTCTGAGCACAAAACTTCAGTGCTCGAAATGTTCTCAGACAGCGACTGGAGTGGAGACAAACGCACACGCCGCAGCGTGTCCGCTTGTTGCGTGGTATTGGATTGCCAACTGCTGTATTCAAGCTCTCACACGCAAAAGGTTATAAGCCTGTCGTCGTGTGAAGCCGAGTATAACTCGCTTGTTGCAGGCAGCGCCACCGCCATCCTGTTGCAGAACTGCGTATGCCACGTGTGCCCAGACCTTGATGTGAAGTTGTCGTGCCTATGCGACAATGCTGCCGCCAGATCCCTTGGCAATCGGCAAGGGGTAGGACGAACGCGGCACATAGACGGGAAGTTGCTGTGGCTGCAGCAAAAGACACAGGAGAAACTTCTTGAAGTGATTCCCGTAGGCACGCGAGACAACGTGTCGGACTTGCCGACGAAAGCACTTAAGCCTGAGAGGATTGAGTTCCTGCTTGGAAGGCTGAACGTGCGCTGCAAGGACAATGGGTTTCAGGTTGTCAGCGAGTCAGAACTGCTTGACCACGAATCGCGACGAAAGATTTGCAGAGTAGTCAAGAAGGGATCAGTGAACGTGCAACAGGTTCTTCAGGTTCTTGCGTTAATCCTTCAGCTTGATAGCATTGCTGGTGTCAATCCAGATGAGCCCAATACCAGTGCAGACGCCTTGGGCCGGGACACTGGCGATGAGACTGGAGACTGGCGATGAGACTGGAGGTGGCTACGAGAGCATGCTGTGGAGTTTTCTTGAAAGAGTGCTACATGCGATTTTCTTGATCCATGACTTCATGGTTAATCACCCGCAAGCAAGCCTGATACTTGCCCAAAGCACGATCCTTGTGATGATATGCATCTGTTTCTGCTGCCGACGAAGCAGAGCGTCGCAACTCCGTGAAACTGCTGAGACAGGAGCAGCAAGTGCACCCACGGTGAGCGTGCATATAAAGGTTGGTGGGGTTTCGGTTCCTGGGGATAGGATAAGTCCCCTAACCTTAACTTGCAGCAGCAAGCCACCGAAGAAGACACAAGCGATGATGAACCAGACCCGACAGCTGCACCGTCAACTGCAGTGCCGGGTGCTACGCAGCCGAGTGCGAGCACATCTTGGAGTGAGGTTGAGGCAAATCTTAATGCTTGGTTGCGTGAGAATGCTTTGCCGATCCTTGAGCAGTGCGATGCACCACCACAAACACCAGACCACATGTCAGTCAGGGACCCGCAAGGGCATCGCATCGTGTTTGTGACCGCGAGCCGTGGATATGCATTCCACCGTGTGTGGGAGTGTCCGCAGCTGAAGTGTGCGAAGCGGATACTCAGGTACAGCAAGCGTGAAGCCATGAGGCGAGGCTATCAGCCATGCAAAGTATGTGGGGTGTGATTCAGTGTTTTCTTTCCACTTGGAAATGTTCATGATGCTGCGCAGTGGCCGCATGTATATAGCTTTATGTACATAGCTTGTGATGCTCATGAAACTTCACTTGCCAGTCCGTGTGGAACTTGAAATCCAGCAATCTCTCTACAGCTTTCTCACACCAATTTGGTGTCAATCCTGTTGTGACAACCAGACATCGACTGTGATGGGTGTGGAGCACCCTGAACCCGCAGAGGGCAATCGTGCCCTGATGGTAACTAGGCCATCTCAATCTTGGACGAGATCTTGAAAAGACCTTGTGTGCTTGCGCTTGGGCCATACAAGCATCTACATCTCTGTCCTTACCAGCCGGTGGGAAGAGATTCTGCATAGGCCGTAGCTGTACAGTGCTGCGTAGTTGTAGCTAAGCCAAAGACCGTTGAGGCAGAGCTTAGAAGACGCCAACACTTTTGGAGTGCAATCCTGAACTAAGTATGTTGTTGTTTCCTGTGGGGCATCGGCAAATGTGAAGTAGACGAAGCAAGCATTCCGCCAGCTCAATGCAGCATCGAGGCGGGCTGTTGAACATTTTGCCGTATCGAAAGTCCCCATTTTATGATGTGATTTGGTTTGCAGTATTTCATGCACTCACATGTTTCACTTTGAGATTGAGTTGCATCTGAAGGCGTCTTTGAGAGTTCAAAACATTTTCAGGGTAACATATAGGCGTATAGAAATACCAGTCGAAAATTACAGCGGTTACACACCTCCTGAATTAGCAAATGCAATACAGACACAACTTCATTTGTCTTTGAAATATATCATGATTTTTGAAAGGCTGTATTCTTGGAACAAAGTATCCGATCTACCAATGAAGGTAATCTCAGTGCAGCTTGGTTGGTGGAATTAGCAATGCGTGCCGGACGAGCCACCCCATCGTATTTCTGCAAGGGAAGTCTCTTATCTTCTGGATAAACGGTTCCTGTACGTTCCTGAAGAGCAGGCGGAACCATCGTGTTATGATACGTTGCAAAAACATCTTCGAGATTCTCAGTGGGAATGCTTTGGAGGGATTGCTCCGCGGGGCTGCTTTGTGGGCTTATGGCGTGCCTTGTAGGCTTTGTGTGCTTCAGCACTCGCGTGAAAAAAAAGCAAGGAGGTCGGAACCCATATCTCCGCATTCAATGCGCTCACCGAGCCCTTTATGGAGGAGGTGAGTTGCAGTTGCCACTCTCGAGGTTGGACGCTCCAAAATTGAAGTTTTCTCGATTGTGCTAGTAGTTGCAACGTTGAAGTCTGAAGCTTGGCGCCAAAAGGTGGTTGAACGAGGGAAAACTAGTAGCACTTTCGGGGTATAAGCACGCCGTGGATCATGTAGCGCCCTTTGCATCGCCTTGCAGTCCGGGTTGGGGCTTGGAGGTCTTGGGATTTTGGGTAGTGGTGTTTCTGATCGAGTTCCTGAAGCCAATCGCTTGCGGTGTTGTGTTGGTTCCCCTTCAAGGGCATCACATGCAGCCATACAGCAGTCCAATCTTCGACGTTGACCCGTCAAGGTGGGCAGCACAATTGATAAGATAAACAACCTTGCACTTAACCTCAAGTCAAGTACTTCAGAATCTTTGACAACGCCAAGCTTTTCACCTCACCGAACTTTCGTGTTGGAAATTTGTCCCAGTCCTGAATTCCAACTGCCATGGCCACGTTTGGCAAGATGAGGCACGGACCTGCGCGAACAGCCGCTGCAGGGCTTGTTGGCAGTGGGTTCAAAGCTTCAAAGATTTCAGGGGCTTAGTTCGACAAATGATTCATCCGCAGCTTAGCCTTGAGTATTCAGGCCGCAACCCCAAGACGCTAGGCGTTCCCCGTCAGAAATTATTGTTGCGTCGCAGCTGCTTCTTTCAGTGCAGAGTAATGGGTTCCCTAGTCCGGTTACCAAGCTTGTGAAGCCTGATCGAAACAACACCACCATGCCTCAAACATCGCACCTGCAAGACTTGTACTTTGCACACCACTGCAGACCCAGCAATAACAGACCGTACAAGTTCCCGCAGATGGATTTCGGAACAATGAAGCTGGCCGCACTGCCATTTCAGCTCTCCTCGAATTTGGACTTTGCTTTGTCTGCTGCATGTTGGCAGGAGAACCCTTTTAGACCCGTGAGGCTAACATGTCGATGGATCACAGGTTGAAACCTTCAAGATCCGACAGAGCTTGAAGTTTTTTACTTTACACGTTACCGTAACATACGTACTCTGACCGCTTCTCGGCGGCACAAAAGCTGCTGTCGTGCCGAACTCTTCGGGTCACGACATGTCGGCACGAATCGCCAGGCCCGGTTGCACTAGTGGGATGTTAGGTTCCATTTAGCAAATGCAGGTATGTTCGACGTGTGGGGATTTGTGATTTTCAGAATTGCGTGCGGGGCTTGAGATATCAAATTGGGACTGGGTGGATGAGTTGAAGGCGCTTGGTTTTGCTTATGCAGCAGTTTAGCAAGCTCGTGGTTGCCTCATGCTTTCATTCGCTGGCATGGCTTGTTTTAACGCACGAACTGCGCATAGTTGCAAGGGGCCTAAGCGCATGTCATGTAGAGCCCGCACGACAATTCAGAGGTATGTGGAATGGGGCAGTGGGTCGTGTCAGGTTGCAGGCTAATGAATGGATGTTTTTTTCGCTGACCAGTGAGGTTTCACAAACCAAGCCAGTTCGAACATGCTGGGGCCATAAGAGTCATAAGCCCTAAGCGCTAGAAATACCCAATTCCCTCTCGTTAATGCTCAGCCATTCTCTACCCTGCAAGGCTTCTCTCTTGCAGCCACCAGGACACTACACATCGTGCAATCATCGGTTTCGGGTGTTGAAATTCTTCACGCATGTTCGTGCGTTAGGATGTTTCAGAGTTCAGGGGGTCGGGACGTATCCGGGATGTTTGAGGACTGGGGGCTCCTCTTGGCTCGGGCTCAGGACATCGAGAAGGAGGCTTTGTGAGTAATCAGTGCACCCAACATCTCGGAGGCTGGATCTCAACAGCGAGATGTTGAAGTAAATAGGAATTGCCGGACAGGACCCAACGGCCCTAGAGTGCAGACGTGGTTCAAAGGTTTCTGGGTCCCTCAGGAGTGTGCCCTGCACTCCTTGCGGGAGATGGCGCTGGCCTGTGAGGCATTGGCCAGGTTTACTTTGTTCTCGCGATCAACTTTGCGTTCCCCAAACAAATCGAGAGGCCACAAGGAACCCTAAATCAAGTAGAAGGCTCAGGAGTGATAAGAGGAGGACACTTAACACTTAAGAGACTACTAGGGTAGAAAAGATTAAGAGAGGAACGCAGCGGGAGAGGGTTTGGAGACTGCCTGCCCGGCACTCCCTCTAAAAAGCTTTTCCAGAAGCTAGCATAGTAGAGGGCATTACTCGAATCAATATCCAGTGCTCGGGGCATGGCTGGACTCTTGGCCCGAGGTGTGTTCGCTTGATGTTCACTTGTTCGAGGTTGTTTGTTTGGGCTTGTCGGGCAGGGGTGTCGAATGAGAGTATCCTTGTGTCCTGATCTGACTTCTGTTGTCTTTTTCCCAAATTTGGCAGGAGGAGCCCCAGCAGTTCTTGGATGCCATTGAGGCTCGTTGGAAGTGGGGTGTCCGTGGCCTGGCATACCGAAAACACGGCGGAGCAGCCGCTGAACATTCTCCTTGCGTCTCTTCCCCCATCTTTTCGTTTCGCCCTCATTGCTCTGCTTTGCCGCTGCTACCCCGACCGTGGTGGCTGTTCCCGCATCCTTCGTTCACTGCTGTTTCCCCCTCTGCACTCGCATGCATGGCCTTGGTTTTGATTAGGATTACGAATTTCTGTATGTCGTGGCTATGTCACTTCGTGGGCTGCAGTGGCTTTCAGGTCTTCGAGCCTGAGAGTAAAGCGTCTACGAATGCACTGGGACAATGGACTTCAATGGACCCCTATAATCCGATCCAGGCAGCAGCCTTCGCGATGGATGTCAAGACTGCCAGCCGCAGTTACCGATCCCCGAAAGAATTCTTGAGGATGCGCGTGTTGGGCCTGAAGCCAGAAGCTTTACCTATCTGCTCAAAGATGTGAGCTTTTTCGCGCTGGAACTTTCAGCTGCAGGTGACAATGATGTTTTGAAGGTTTCGTACTGGCATTAGATAGGGGACCAGTGCCCAGTGCCTCCTTTGCACGAATCCGTTGCATCAATGCTTGAACCAAACCCGGCCCCATGAGCCATGCTAAGCCCTAAGCGGCCCAAAAGCTTGATTTTACGGAGCCCGAAACATCACGATGCCACCTCTAGACTACGACGCCTCTTTTCCCCAATGCTCTGAAGACAGCACCCAGGACAGAGTTTCACTGAGAACTATCGCGCCACTTGCCCAGCAAACAGAAGACCGACGACCTGGGGCAGGGGACAGTTTGAGTTAGTGCACCCTCAGTTCGTGTTGCAAAGTGTTGTAAACTTCATGCCATTCGAGAATTTGAGAGATTACAGTAGACTTGAACCTCAGAGTGTCTTTTGAAATTGAGGTTCGATGAAGGTTAACTGGAGACTCGCAGAAATATTGTTGCACATGCATGAGTCCTACACAACAAGTGTTACCTGTCGTGATTTACTTGAATACTTTGATGTTTTGCAAACGCAAGCATCCATAAACGGGACCGCCAGCTTTCAAAAGTGGATTGCGCATTTTGGGTTGAACTGTTTGCGCTCGGCATGGCTTTCAGAGCACGTAAACTTCAAACCTCTAGGCCGTAGAATGCCTAAAATGTAACGGAGCCAGACGTGGCTCTGTACGAGAAGGTGCTCTTTCAGCAGTCTGCACGTCTCTATCGACTTGAGTTCTGGCCGCTCGGTTGTTAGCCTGCATGTGCAGTATCATTTGGGCTTCCATGATGTTTCGAAATGTCGCTGCAGGTCGTGGAGTCTTCGTTGCACGTTTGAGGTCTTGGGTTCAGGGCTTTTGTAACCCAACGCCCGAATCTTCTCCATCCTGTTGGTGCTCTTTTTCAGCAAATGTGCCTTGCAGCTTTGGGAGTGATGGAGCGGCTGCTGAGGGTCTGCCCTTGCAGATGCTAGATGCGTCCGCGTCCATCATCAACTCATGTAGTACAGCAAAACAGGTTCCACGTATATGGGGGTTCGTTTGGACTGTGGCTTGCAGTGCGACACTTTCGCCCTGCTTCTGGGAATCGGAAATTGGAATAAAGGATTCCGAGGGTTTGCAGGAACAATGCCTGGAGACAATGCCTTGAATTAGGTGGAAGGGTTGGCTGGACAGTTGCTTCAGCAACAGAAGGATGCCCACCGACTGCTGTTGACAAACATAGTATGCAGGCGAGCCTGCCTAAATGACTTCGAGTCCATCGCAGTCAATGGTGAGGCAGAGGAGAATGCTGGCTCCTGTCATGTACTCTTTCTCTGGCTGAGAGCTGAAGTGCATGCATCTGAGGGTCTCCACATGCCATTTCTCTACCGAAACGACTCCTGAACAGGACGCAGATGGTCCGGATACTGAGACACAGTAGTCACTGGAGTCAGTGACTACCACTGATTACCAGAAACACGTTCGCAGGCATGAATCATTGTGGGAAGTCTTGTTCTACAGAAGTCATGTAGGCTCCACACAAGGCACTTGGCAGAGCAATCAATGAGCTCGAGTTTTCTTCGCTTGCATCGAAACCCAAACACATCCATCAGACGACCGTGCACATCCTGTTGTCATGAAAAGGGGAGTACCTCAGCGAAATACCGGTGAACATTCAGAAATACTTGCCATTTTACAGCCAAATTGATCAGCTGAACCGCTCTAGACATCTTTAGATGTTAGACTGCTCTGAACCCTCGACCCAACGGCGGATAGCACCTGCTTAAGTTTTACGTCGTTACTTCTCGCAGGTCCACAGCTTCTCTGCAGCAACTCGAGGGAAAGCCAGGCACAAAGCAGAGTTGGGCCTCTCTCTTTAGATTTGGATTGTTGTTACAAGATGGGCTTTTAGTATCGTGCGGGAGCTTCGGCAACTGGAAACTACCTTCGTCGGTTCCGTGAAGAGACTGGACTGTCGCCAACAATGCAACCTTTACAAGTGAATTCCGATGTTGCCTTTTAAGGGGTAGGCTCTTCGTCATTCCAATATGCCGGGTCGTTGCAGGCAACTCCGTGCCAGCCGCGAGGAATTGACGAATGCGTTGTCGCTTGGATCGCCATGCGCCAGAATCCTGAGATAGCCTGAAGCGGATCATTGAAGTGGTTCTCATCAAAGGCGAGAGCCACACACTACCGGCAAGAGTGAGAGCCACACACTACCGGCAAGAGTTCCTAACAGCAGCCATAGCGCCTGTGTGCGATTGTGCACAAATCTGTGCTGCTGTGTACTGTTGCAGCTGAGGAGAGAGTGGCACACAGCTGCAACAGCTAGCCGACTTGCAGGAGATTTTCGAGCGTTCGGTTTCTAGCATCGGTATCATTGTCTCAAAGATGCCCAATACAGGGCGCTTTGATGCCACCTCTAATACCCACAGAATATTCCTGTCCGGTGAGCATGGCATGCACAGGGATTTCGAGCGCCTTCAGTCTCAAACGCACAATAGGACCTCAACCCTTTTTTTGAGAACCAAAATTGGAAAGCTGGAGCGCAAGCGAACTCAGCCCCACGGTACCACAAAGACTGCCAGCCCGAACATCGGCGTGTTTTGGAGCGAGAAGCAGCATGGGTGCTGGACAAGTTAGAGTGGAGGCAGTCGTCCCTCCATCTGCTTTTGGATATTTCGCTTCGCTTCAGCAGCCACTAACCACTCGGCAAGCTGAAAGGTCTACATTGACATGAATGCGAGGCATCCCTTTTTTTCGAAGACAAACAAATGCCTGGCAAGACATATGATGCCTCAACAAGCATTTACCTTCTCTCTGTCCCTGTTTCGTTTGAAAAACAAGAAGCCTTGCAAGACCTACCAAGATGTAGCATGTTTTCATCATCGCCAATTGTTTGATTGCAACTGGTGAGCTTCCCAACCCTTTGTTCACGACAATCCATGAGTGAATGCCTGGCAATGGTCGAGTCCCCGGTTTGTTCGTTTTTCCGGATCATCTGAAAATTGTCGTTTGGTCGGCAGAACACTACTGCCTTGCAGTGGCTTCGCACCCGACAAACTTGGCCGAAGTTGAGCGGGAACACAGCCAAAAGCGAGTCTGTAGCTGAGCCCCGAGGGTTGAGACCTGACATCCTGAGCCAGCGAACAACATCGCAACCTTACAGCAGGCGCACAGTCCATCCTAAGACCGACCGTGCATCTAGCACCCAGAACTTTGCGGTGGGCACGTACCGGACCAGGCACTGCACAACCACTGCGTATGCTCATGGTGCCCATAGCAGAGACGTAGGGGACCAGCGACATGTCTTGCGAGACTTACCCGCCACTAAGAACAGCAAAGTGATCTTGTCCACAAGCGGCTGGCACGATGGACAGAACTGTTATGATATTGGACATTTTTTTGCATTTCGAACCTTTCTTTTGGATCGGGAAACTTGTTATTCCGATAAAGCCTTGAGGAGGCTCGTGCTGAGTGCCAGCCAGTTGCGCTGAGAGATGCAACGTGCAGACATAAGGCTGCTGACGATCTTTGGAGAGCTTTGGTTGCAAAGTGCAAAGATCGGGCGTGTCAGGAAAGGTCTAACGAAAATCAAAAACGGCACCAAAAAGAGAATCCACCCTTTCGGAGGTGCAGGTGTTGCCCGGTCCAGGTTTTGGAGACAGAGCCGGCAAAGGGATGAGGGTCGTCGAGAAGCATACCTTTCACACCCAAGCCTGCTCTATCTTGGCCTATTCCGGTGCTGCTATTCCCAAGCCGTCCCAAGCCCCGGAGGATGGAAGCGATGGTTCCCGGTCACAAGCCACGGCATCTTCAGGCACAAAGTTTTGCAAGGGACGCAGGAATGTGACTGTCCGGAAAGTCTAGGGTGTCGCGATGTTAGGGGTTATTGGGTTTTCCAGGCCGATGTGGCAATTTTACAAGACAATCGGACACTAGAAGAAGTAGCTGCTTCTTTTAGCATGTGTCGTAGATCGATGTGGTCTTGCATGAGTTGGCATGCGCTACATTCTACATGCTACTCGTATGTGCACAATTCTTCCAGCCGTGGGGAGAGGTCTCGAGGACCAAGCTTGCCATCTTACTACTTGAATCATGCCGTAATGCTTGAATATACCGCTTTTGGCATTTCTGAAAAATGGCTGACAGAAAAGGACTTAATGCATGACAGGAGACTGTCAGGGGCAGAGAACGATGGCGGCTCCATATGGCTCCTCTCGTACCGGGTCATATCGGCAAGTTCCATGTCAGACTTCGAAGCCGCGTTTCGTCCGGACTCGCGTCACAAATCAACGGCTCGCCTGGGAAGAAAACGACCTAGCAATGAAGCCTACGTCACGCAGTCACAGAGAGCCGGCTCAAGTTTTCTTGGGTGGCTGGTGATCAATCTTGTGTGATTTCTGCTTTGTGCTTGAGTGGTGAGTACTGTAGCGATGGTCCTCCAACAGATAGGCTTTCAGCTAAGATTATGCAGCACATGCCTTACAAAGCTGAACGAACTCACTTGTCAAGCAGTGCCGCAACAATAGTTGTCTCCTGCACGGGGCTGTTCAGGCTGAGGATGAGAGGCTTTCGAGAGTAATGACATATCTTTCGGTAGCAACATGTTTAGCTGGCTCTGTTTCGCCCCCCCCCCCCACTTTTCTGATTCGGGGCACTAGAGTACTTTGGAAAACCTGCGCGGCTTTATGTCTCAATTCTGGCATCCCAGGCCCTACATCAAACGCCATGAATCCTGAACCCAAACCCAGCATTTGCCAGCATCCCCAAACCCTACAACGGCATACTCAGCAAATCCCAAGCAAGGCGCGTGGCGGAATCTCTTCGCGAGTTCGATCGATCGTGGGTGAATTTCGAAGTGAGCCACACGGTCGCACTCCCTTGACAGTCCTACGCCAAGCAGCACCAACAGGTTTCACAGGTCAGAAGTCGGCCTAGACGTTTTTTGCATGTCAATATTGTTTCTGAATTCTTTGCTTCTCAGATCTCAGGGTGGGTGTTCTTTTCATGGTTTGGAGGCCCAGAGTCTAAATTGCGCGAACGTCCTTTTACGAGCTTGTTAGACTGTTTGCTCTACAAGTGCTGAGGCTATGTGGCAGAGCTCATTGCCATCGAAGCTCATGCCAGGAAGCCGGTGGAGCTTGCGATCGCTCTGGACAGCTCCGAACAACCCCTAACGACTAACACGCCAGGCTTTCATCGATGCTTGCCATTTTTGCAGTGGCCTTGACATATATGTTGTCAGCCAGTGGACAGTCAAGGGCATTCCAAAGTTCTTCCTTTGATGCAGAGTAGCAACTCTGCATCCAGAATTAGTCTAAAGGTACTTGATTCAACTTCAACTTGCAGAGTCTCAGAATCTTTGAGAAAATATAATCCTGAAAACCCAGTGAAGCCAAGCGAAGCCCTGCACGTGGAGCACCTTGAGTCCTAATTTCAATCAGCCACTACCAGAATCAGGAGCTGCAGCTCTCCAGCCTTGAGGGTGCAAAGCGGATTCTGCGAAGGAGGGAAGCTTGCTTTGCGCTTCTGGGGCTCCAAACTTTGGAGATTCGGATTTGTTGGGAGAAGGGCGGTTCTATTTAAGGTGTGCCCTCCGTCTAGATGCAGAACCGGATCACTTGATTCTCCCCGCCTGTCTTGTCTCCATCTTGTCCTTTGGATGACACCCGCGGTCGCGAAGCAGCTGGAACGGCATGAACGGGCCAGGCTTTCGCTGCACGACCGGAGGCTGATCCTAGCCGTCACTTCTCTTTGGCCTTCGATGACATCGCTGCGTGATGCAGTAGACTCAGCAGCGACAAGGCTGGGGAATCCGAGCAGGGCGAGGGCACATGGACTCCGGCTTGGCCGAAGTGGCGGTACACCATCGCCGCGAAGAAACTGGCGAACCTGAGGCTCGGAAGTTCGGAGAGGAAAGGGGGGTCCACAGTGGCCATGGCAGAGGTCGCAAGAAGCCAGCCCGTCAGATTCCGGGTTATCAGTTGATGATCCTTGACGCAGGGTGCCAGAGGACATGTGGAGCGACATGTGGAGGGACTTGGGAGCCTTTAGGACGCCTTGTGCAGATGCTTTCCAGTGAGGAGTGGCAGCCCGGTGCTTGCAAAGGTCTTGGCATGCTCGTTGGACAGATGTTCACAGACTTGGCGTCTATAATGCATTAGGAGCATATCGGTCAGAAGTTTCTTTGCGACCAGAAGACATTGACGGGACGTACGCGTCTCTCCTGTGAGGAGCCACAGCTCTGAAAGGTCGGATGCCACAGATCGCAGGAGGCCTCAGGGTTTCGGGGGCTTGGGCTTTTTGATGACTGCTTCGAAACTGCATCGAAGATTTTAGGGCTTTGACGAAGTTGGGCTCGGTGTGTTTGTTGGGGTTGGAGCGGCTTTGAGTTACAGCGCAGATGGCATGCGTTGTTGCACGTTCGTGCCTGTCTCCATAGCTGCTGGTCCCGCATGTCACGTCATTCATCCAATGAAGATCTTGGAAGTTGCAGACCTTTCGTTAGCCTCAAGTCCACCTTACCGTCGAACCTGCCCAAGTTCTCCAACCGTCAGCTCAGAACTTTCAAACTTCCAAAGCACCAAGAAGTCCCGAAACACCAAGACGCAACATGATCAAAAGGGATGTGCATGAGGCGACGGCCTTCGCTCTCTTCAGATGAAAGCCTCCAGAGCCGGTGCCGGGTTCGGTGCCGGGTTCGGTGGAGTCTGTGCTGAGCGGCTGTTAGACACTGTTCGTGGCATGCTTCGAAGGACGGTTCTTTCTTGCCAAAGCCACGTGTCTGTTATGGTCAAACCGGACCTGCATCACTATGCGAACAGGTTGTGGGAACATTGCAGGGCTCAGTCAGGAGCCCTACATCTGTATAGTGCATTGGGGCTCAACCATGTCTCAAGGTGCTCCGAAGAGTCGCGGCGCCCTCCACTGTCACCACAGACGCTCGATGATAAGCTATCAGTTAGCGTGTTTTTGAGCGGCGTCACACGTGCCTTACCTTGGTTGCAAGTGAGTGCACAAGGAGAGGCCAGGAGAGGTTGAATGGCTTCAGCGTTCAGCCACGAAGCAAAAAGCTTTGCTCATGAGTTTTCTCTCATGTTCGATCTCAAAGCCGAGGTCCGCCACACCCAAGTCAGAGAAAGGCAAGGCCTGGAGCAGAGTTTCAATGGCTCGGCTTCCAGCGAGTGAAATCGGTCTGGTCACATGAAGGTCTACGGACCGGATAAAGGAAGGAGCATCATGCACAAAGTTTATGACACTGATACAATGTTGGCCGTAGGTGACATCTACGAGTTTGCCAAGACCGCCTGCAGCAAGAGTTCTTCGAAGGCCACATGTGCTGGAAGACATGTTTTGCGGATCACAGGAGCGTGGAATGACTTATGGGTCTTTGTGGGTGCAGAAACGTGGAACGCATCTGAACGAATGTATAGATGTATGCACTTGCTGTTTAAGAGGTATTTACCTGTTTCATAGCGGAGAAGGAAGGGTATAGGTTCTCAATGAATAGTCCAAAGCCAAACACTTCCGCTGTGTGTACTAGATTCATGATTGTGTGCTGCTTCGATGTAGAGCAAGTCTGGGGAAGACCCAAAATGCCCGCAGCAATATAATATCTTCGATAGTGCTTTGGTCCGGGAGAAGGCAGGAGAAATGCAAAAGCTTTCAAGAGAACCGATGGTGTTCTTGCAGAGAAGTCCAAGGACTGTAGACGAAGTAGATGGGCCCTAGTGCACGCAAGTTCTACTGTGGTCCTTTTTAGGCGTTCTATCGAGAATCATACTTCGCAGAGAACCCCACGACAATCAGAGCTACGCTTCCATGAAGCAGGAAGGGTCTGATACCTTGCTAGCAGCAAAGATTCTCGGAATGCGCACATTTCAGAGTTCCTGTTTGAGGAGAGCCACCGCGTGCTGCGGCGGCTTGCAGAGCAGGCGGATTCTGGATGGAATTGAATTTGCTGAGGATGGTTCTCCTCCCTTGTTGTAGGGTTGCTATTCTCCTCAGCGGGGTCTCCTGCCATGAGCCCCTGACCTGGGCTTCCAACCGTGATCCTGCAGAGAAGTATTGGAGTGTCCTGCAAAGAACCTCACAGAAATGCCACCGAGTATCCTGGAGTGCCAGAGAATCCGGCAGAGTATCCCCACAGTGCTCCCGGAGAAAGTGAATCCCGCTGAGAATCCCCAAGATGATCCCTGTAGTGCCCGTCCATTGCTTGGTCTTTTCGAAGTACTTCTTGTTTGAGTAGGGAGAGGTCTTGCTTGAGGACAAGAACATAGAGGTGGAGGAAGGAAGGACAGGGAAGAAAGGAAGACAGACAGTAAGACAGCAAGACGGAAATTAGTTGAGACACACGGTGACATCGGCTCCTGCGGCGCCTCGGACAAAATCCCAGCCTGCCATGCAGTCCCTCGCTCACGGTTGTAAAAGCTGTTGAGCCCTTCGCCCACTCAAACCCTCTCGCGGGTGGCCCCCTTCAGCAGCAGGCATCTCTTCAGAGCTCGCCGGGCGAAAGCATATGCATGGGCCATGCAGGCGTCTCTTCAGACGTGGTGCTTGACATCCCTAACGCTCCACAAAGACCGACGGGGCCGACCGACTCGGCTTTTGTGCTCTCCGACTTGCCAACGAGTGCAGTGACAAAGGACCCACGGGAAGTGCCAGGACGAGCCTTCGTCACTGCTAGCCGCAATGGGCAGCTTCGCCTGAAAGGAGCCCTTCGCCGCGGCCGATTGCGTAGCGCTTCAGAGAGAATGCTGGCACAGACTGCGTTGGACGGCAAGAGCGAGCTGGGCTGAGTTTGCAGAACTGCCGGTCTTCGCCAGCCTTGCTGACTGCCTCGTGCCGCCCACCCCGACCACCCGCGGGCACCCGCGGGCACATGCGGGCACATCGAGGAACTCGAATAAAATTCCACCAGAAGGGTGGAGTTTGTATGAGAGGGCGGTTGATTTGGAATGCTCATGGCGCCAGGCGAGTGCATAGCAGAAGGCAAACCGCCCAAAAAAGAAGTTTTATTCAATTGCGCACCCAATCCTGGTGAACTGAAGCTCCGCTCCTTCAAAAGCCTTCATGGTTCTGAGGGTGAATGCGGTCAACTTTTTGGCTTGGCAGTTCGTGGCATGTAGCCTCTGAGTACAACACTTGGCAGATGCACTGTTACTGTGCTGTGTCGAAAGTTCGCCACGGTGCACACATGGCATTTGCTTGTTTTTGCATGATTATAGGTTTATTTTTCAGTTTGCATGATTGTGGGTTTATTTGTCAGTCTCATGTATTCGGTTTCTTTAGGTACGACGCTTGCGATATGACGCTGTAGACTGAACATGGTGTTACAGAGTACTTTAAATCTGGAGGGTGCCCCAGATCCCCTCAACGGTCAGGAAATTTGGAAGGCTTTGCCCAAAAAGAGCGTGAAAGTAAGGCGAAGCCCAGTGAAGCCGCAAAACGTCTACACCCTGAGTGCCGGAACCTCCTTCAATGTGGCCTCGAGGTGGCAGTGCTCAATGCACGCGCAAACACCCAAGGCAAAGGAAGGGGCGATCTGACCATGGAGGCACCTGCGAAAAACTCTGGTAGTGGCGAGTGACGGCTAGTGGCGAGTGTTTGGGATGAAGGGCCTTAGGTCCAGGATTGGTTGCGGTCCTATGAACACAGAGGATTCCACTGTATCATGTCTCTTGAGGACGACACAAAGGTCATGTTGTGTTAGGTCTATCTTCGCAAGATTAGGAGATGACGTGTGGTCTTGTGACTTGAACTGTGCTGTTGTGTGTGTGCTCTCTCTTTGACGGGTCCAGTATGGGATGTGCTTGGCACATGCAAATCTGAAACTCTGTCGTCGGGCAGCTATAAGCTTCGTGAATTGTTGTAGCCTCAAATTGGCCAAATCCCTACTCTAGCGCTACAAGTCTAAACCCACATGTATTGGAGAACCCTTTTCGAGGTCCTCGTGACGGCCGCCGATCTCTTCCTCGGCGGCGAGGTGCGCCTGCTGGGTCATCAGTGTATTCGTCACTTGAAGGTTTGTGATGCTTACGTGCTCAAAGGCTACAGGTGTTTTTGCTGCCCTGGCTTCTGAAGTGTGCAAAGATTTAGTGTGGCACATGGCCCACCAGGCGTGCGGCTCGGCAGAAGCAGCCGCGCGCCACTTCTTGGCAGCCAAGGCGGGGTGTGAAAGAGGATGGCTTGAGTGGTGCGGGCTTGTGTGTCGGGTGGATCTGAAAAGAGCTGAGAGCAGAACATGCCACCAGCAAGATTGAGTGTGGGATCCAGGGTGTTGGCTGGTCAAGAACAGCCACAGCATGTCGGCCAATAGCTAGGGCATGGGCGACATTGGGCGACCAACATTGACACTCTGAGCTCCACCCGAAAGCGATGCCCCCAAGATCCTGTAGATCCCTCGCCCTGTCCTCAGAGAACAGGTCTTGGACGGTTTCATGGGCCTCCGGAGCTACTTCGCTTCCATAGGCAATGATGTCATGGAGGCGACGGAGAGGACTTCAAGCTATAGCAGCAAAAGGGACCTTCTTCCGAACCACGCTTTGCAGTTTTGAAGGTTAGGAAGCGTAGGTTCGCCGAGTTGATGTTGCTCAAAAGAGGTTGCTGAAGAAGTATGTCGAAGGTGGTCAATGGGTCTGGAGGTAGAGCCTCATACAATGTGCATGACTCTTTCTAGGTCCCGAGCTACTTTCGGCAATGCATGTAGACCTCTTCAGAAAAGTCCAGCCAGGTGGACCCCCAGCTGAGCAAGAATCCACGCCTCGTCAAAGCGTTGGTAGTCTGGGAGGAGGTGCCTTGGATTCGATCGACGATAGGCTGGTCTTTGATTTATTGAATCGATGGTATCTTCTGGGCATGCAGTAATCTCATGGGACCCACTGCAGAGTTGATCGTAATTGTCAATGCATGAGGGACAACAGTATCCATGCATAAACACTTCCTTGTGCAATGTGCATCAACTGACTTTGTCTGCCCACTCATCCTCGAATGATTCGTGTGAGAGAGTTCATGAGACACTTGTCGTTCCATTGCATGTAGCTTGTCTTGGCAGTGGTTAAGGGTTCTTTGGCTTCTCTTGTTCCTTGGCTGCTTAGCCTCCAGCGTATTCCAGCGTTCTGGTCAGCAAGAAACCCGGATATCCTTTAAAGCACAGCCGGCCCTAACATCGCGAGCGAAGCTCAAGGCCTGGGAACTCGGCGAGCGGATCTTGCTGTGCCCAGAAATGCTCCAGGCGTTCTGAACGAGCTGCTGTTTGTGCTTGACAGCACCGTGCTTTGGGCACCAGCCTTGTCTGAGCAAGTGCCACAAAAAGGTCATGCTGTGAGATACCTGGAGGAAATTTGACGTGTGGGTTCAAGGCTTCATGCTTTTGGCTTTTAGGCCGGGCCGTTGTGTGCCAGGAATCTGGTGTTAGATTAGGATTCTTCATGAGCTGCGACCTTGCTGGTGGAGGCACTTTGTGGTACTGCTGGGCTTTGCGCTGAGGCCATGCATCCAGATCTCCATATTTTCCGTGCACGAGTTTGAATTCAGAAGCTAGGGTACTTATTGGGTAGGGGCTTCATGGTCTGTGTATGGTGGGTTGAAGATTGTTGGTCATTGTGAAATTGACAGGGGTGGCTTGGTAGGCGGGCCATTGGCAGCACGCCCTAGCAACCACAAATCCTCAAAGCTCGAACCCTTACGATGACTCCCAAACCTGGCTTGAGTCAGACTGGCGCTTTGAGCCTCCCTGAAGCCCGACATCCTAAGAGTCGGAGCCGCAGAGGCCTTGCAGGTCAATCCGGAGCTCCGTTCGCACGTGATAGACCAGGACTTCGCACAGGGTCTTTTTGATGGTCAGTGTAGGTGCAGGTTTTCGAGCGTTGCACGCAGCATTGCATGAACTGAATTTCTCGCGTCTAGCCCAATGCCTGAAGCACTTTTGGCGTCAACCACTAGGGCGTCTTAAAACTTCAGCACATGAAACAATGGAGCTGCGCTTCAACATGGATGTTTCCGGTTGCAGCTCTCGCACAAAGGCACACTTGTATTCAGGCAGGGGTCCGGTGATTGACTGAATTTACGTCTTTTTCATCCGCTGTGATTCTATTTGGATGGATTCCTCGGTGAAGTGTTTAGGAGCCGAGTGTGCACGTTACAACACAAGGCTTCTCACGGTTCCTTCTCTGAAGTGGCTTTCTGGAAGTTAAACTTCGGAATTATTCGTGGCACATGTTATGGTGTTACGGCATGCAGATCAAAGGTCCTTGGTTACATGTCCCGCTACTGGTACTTGCCCTGTGGCATTCAGGATTTGTATCGGGTTCTTCACCTTGCATACCTTGCCGATCTGTCCAGGATGCAGAGCTCTTCATGATTCTCCCCAGGACGGAGCTGATGTGAATGTTTGGCAAGATTATGTTTGTTGTTGCTAGGCTTTGCGAGGCTAAGCCGAGCACCTTGCCAAGCTGTCAAGTCCTCTCGCCAACCCTCCATCTGAACTTTGGAATGCAGAGTTGAACCCTCCAAGCTTTTAGGTCTCCGCCCCAGGCTGGTAATTTTAAGCGACTTTGGTGGTCCTGGAGACTGCCAGGCAGGACGAGCTCGGGTCATAGACCACACTTGAAAGGGATCTTGGAGAATCGATTGGGAAGAACACCACCCTGCCACCCTCTCCCCTGTGTTCTTGTGGTTTTGCTGTCGAAGACCGATGCGAGCGTAGACATGCACACACATGCTCCTCATTTTGGGTGTGTGTCACAGCTGAAGAGGTGCTCCGCTTCTATTTGCCCCAGCACTTTACAGACGAGCTTGCCAACGATCTCCAGGCGAAGACCAGGGTTGACGACAATGGTATGAAAGGCAAGCATGTTCTATGGCACTATTCTGGTACAGGTTTATGCAGTGACATTCTCCCAATCCAATCTAGCATCGCAAGTTGAAGTATATGTATTGTCACGACCTTCCTGGCCATAGCAAAGCCCCGAACACCAATGCCAGCCTCCAGAGCGAAATGGTGAACGGTCTGCAGAATCATCATTAGGTGGATTTGCAATGGCCGAAGCCCAACTCCAAACAACAGAGATGAGCAACCTAAAGCAAAACCATAAGACTAGCATAATTGAAAATTCATCGTCGCCGAAGTCCAAAAACTTTGCATTGTCCGTTCGTTCAAGGCTGCGATACAACCGATCTCAGTTTGCAGCCGCATGCAATGACAGCGCTGGGTCAGCGATTTAGGCAAGCGGTACTTTGGTTTCAGCCGAACATCTGGAGCTAGAGCTGGCAATGCTGGGAGCGCCTGAAACACGCAGCCATGCCGAAGAAGTTGTCAGAATCGTGCGAATACCGATGATGACATCGTACTCATCATACTCTGACTTTTTTCCAACTCCAACCTAAATGTCATAACCCAACTTGCACATGCACGCGACATGGAATCAACATCTCACCGATGCCAAACTCGTTGCCGAAATTTCCGCAAGCACTTGCCGACCTTGTCGTACATTGGAGCATGAAGCCGACACGGACCCAGACAGTGATTTAAGCAGCACAAAGCTCTTGCAAAGCCACGCCGAGAATCTTTGTCCGCCAGGCGTTGAAGGAGGAGTTTGATGGTATCCGTGCATGCTCTCCTGAGAATTCGTTGAGTCGGACGCATGGCAGTTTTGGATTTTGGTTTGACTGAGGTTTCCGGCTCCGGGGTCTCGAACTTGCCGAAGGTGTCTGACACAGCATCCGGTGAGCCTGAGTAGAAAACGCTCGGTCCGGACCGGAGTCTCAAAACTCCGCGGTCATGAAATCCACGAGCTCGACGAAGAGGAATCACGCAACCCCAAACCCAAAAGAGTACAAACACGAGGGAACCAGTTGCATTGAAATTGTGCTTTTTTCAAGACCCGAAGACCCTCCATACTCCATCAAGTCTCAGCCCGAAGCCAAAGTAAATCCAAACTCCTCAACCCAACCCCACATGTTCACCGAATTCGAAGTCTCAAGGACAGCTTTGGTGCGCCACGCTGTCCTTGGCTTTGGCCCGGCGGCCGAGTTCGATGGTGACCAGCCATTGAACTTGGCGACTAGAGCTTCCCTTGGATGCTCAGGATGACCACAACTTTCGATTTCCAAATTTTCCCCTTCTTGAGCCTCATAGGTCCCTCTACCAAGTGCCAAGTGCCAAGTGCCACGTGCGCGTCCTGCCCAAGGCACCCCGAGCCCCTCTACTCTGAAATCTTACGCGCGATATTCTGATCCACAAGTTGAACTTTTAGCCCTCAGTTCTGAGCTCTGAAACTTGAGCGAGCCTATGAGAGCCCCAAACCCTACACCTGAAATCGCTCGCTTGGGTGAGGCTTCTTGCGACGCCTCGAGCGCTTCAGCCACACGGCACTGGTTGGACTTCCAAGCTCCTTAAAACATCCCCTATCCCCATTCGTTTCCGTTGTCCGTTTCATTTACATTCATTTGTGTTTTTCCTGAGGACTCGTGTTGAATCAACTTTGCTGGGGGTTTTGGGTGGCTTCGAGTGCAAAGGCATGGAGCTTCAGCGCAACCGGCCGTCAGATTGGAATCAATGCTGCCTAGCTTCTCGCCAGATTAATGTCGGCTTCATTGCTTTCGGCAGAAGTCATTTGAATTGAAAGTCATCGGTGCAACCGACGCTGGATAGCACCCTCCTATCTGCCAATCTGTGCGCGCGCTGGTTTTCTGTTTTGGCCGTTGTGGGGTTCGGTTCTGAGAATGTTCTCAATCGCTTTTCAAGGGGAGTGTCGTGCGGAGCTGCCCAAGAGCCTCTCTTGCCCATGCCAGTGTCAAGTTCTGGACCGACTGGTTGGGGAGTTAAAATTTGGGCCCTTGTATGCGGAAAAGCTTTTCAGGTTTGTTTCTGATGCGATATGTATCTACTCCCTATCCTCCTCAACTTTCCAAGTAACTTTAGCTACCCGGCAAGCCTTTCCAAGACCTCGTTGTGGCAGCTTGGATGAAAGGTGCTTCTGCAGTGCATTGAAGCGGTGATGCTGTGAGCCCACCCTCGCTGCTTTGGGTTTGAGCCCAGGGTTGAATTGCGCGAGCGAAATCCGTCAAACAAACTTTTGCAGGGTCTTGCAGGCTCTTCCCGGGAAGCTCCGAAATTAGAATTGTTTTGTGGCACACGGGGCTTGGCAGGGCCCACACCATCGTGTGCCAAAGCCTCGGGGTTCATTGAAGTTAGGAGGTCAAACCAGCCCAATGACGAGCCGACAACAGCAGGAGTGCTCAGGCAACACGCTGAAACACAGACGGACATTTCCACAACCAGGGCCATTCAGGTCTGACAGGGCTTGAGGGTTTTCAAATCGTGATCTGTGTCTGAGTCTCTGTTACTGCTTTCCGAAAGAAGTCTTTGACGCGTCCTGCGCCAGCTGACTAAAGATGTTTCTTGAGCAGCAACAAAGGGTATTACAGCATACAGGTAGCTGGAATTGGCCCTTGCTAAGGGCTGTTGACGGGTGATTTGCTGCAAGATCTTGCCGTTGAACCAGACCCCACGGTTACCTGGGACCCTCCTCGGTCGCTCGGTCTGGGTCTTGTTCCAGTTTGTTCCACTTTGTTCCACTTTGTTCCAGTTTGTTCCAGTTTGTTCCAGTTTGTTCCAGTTTGTTCCAGTTTGTTCCAGTTTGTTCCAGTTTCCCGAAGTCCCGTGCGCCAGAGAAGTTGAGCCCGTTATCTTCGACCGCCTGGCAAATCATCCTGGAATTTCGACATTGCTGAAACGCTGACATCCGCCAGCACAGCGTGAGCGTGTAGCTCCAAGGCTTGTTCGAAGTCGGTTGCCAGCTTTGGGTGAGATGTTATTTTTGGCGATTGCTGGTGGATGCGCTCAGTGATGTAGGACCGAGGGCTTCATGCCCACAAGCACGGTTTGGGCTTCTGCTAAGACGTTCCTACGCTGGAGGTTGCCTTTGTGTTTGGCCCCCTTACCTTATGAGTGCCAAGCCGTCCGAGCTTGTGACCCGAGTGGGCGCTGAAGTCTAATTACACATTGCACTGCACGTGTGTGCGGGCTCGGCGAATCCTGGCAAGAACCTGGCAACTTCTTCTGGCCAGAAGGCAAGAACGAGCGAAAAGCCCTCAACCCAAACACTGGACCATGAGCTGCATTCAGAGGCACTTCTGGCTTTTTGACCATGAACTGAGTGTGTTATCAGATGTTGGGGCGAACAATCCTAAACCCGACTTGAAGGATCTTTCCCTTGAGTCTCCGAGCCTGCAAGTCTGCAAGTTTTGGAGTATAGAATCACAGGCTGCAGCCTGCCAACCTTAGCCTCGGCTTATTCCTCTTTCGCTGAGGCAAGAAGTCGCAGCAGAGTTTGGTGTTTAGAGTGGCCTCTTCAAAAGAGGGACCCGCAGCTCTGGAGGATCCTCAGGATCAGAAACGTTGAGAAGGCCAAGAAGTCTTTCAAGAGAAACACAATGCCTTGCTCACTTCCCGACGAACGCCTGCGCTCGTCTACATTCATCTACGCAGAACTACACTTGTCTACGTTTGCCTGTGCGAGTCAGGTGGATGTCAGTATCCGAGTTTCGAGCCTGGACGGCCTGGCCCCACATTTTTGACCTTAAAGCAGAAGGCCTGAGAGCATCAAGTTGGGTCCTGAAGTAGAAGTAAAGTTGACAGGTGGCCGCTGGGTCTGAAATGAGCAGTCCAGGGCATTCTACTGTGCCACGAGTCACCCGTCCAACCTGCAAACGATGCAGTGATGCTCTGCGCCACTTGGATCAAGCACGTCGAATTTGTTTCCCTTGCGCTTGTTTGTCACATTCGTATCATTTTTCTACTCAGAAGCGCCATGGCTTCGAACTTGGACTCGTGCAACTGCGGGCGGATGCGAGTCGGCAGGCGACCTGTGAAAGCAACCGAGTTCAACCTCAAAGACCGTAGGCCGTAGGCGCATTAAAAACTCCCCAGGAAGCTCTAGGAAGTGAACATGCGAGCAACCCTCAGCTTCACACCGCGACCCGAAAGAAGCCCCGAAAGAACCCCGGCTCGAAATGCTTCTCTAGACTGCTTCATGTGCCCAGGAAGTGGGGTGTAGAGGACTTGCGAGATGATACCCTTGGGGGGGGGGGAGACCTTCATAGAAGGCTTTGTTTTTGGCTGGGGTATGTCTGGGGGGAGGAGCTTGAGAAAGAAGATTTGCAAAGGCAGGCACCCGGCTTGCAGGGAGGCGCAGCCCGGAGACAAGAACCCTTCGCCAATTGCTTTAGAAATGCTTGCACTCGACGATACTCTACGATCCACACGCCTCTGGGGCCTTGTGAGGGTTTGCAAACCGGGGATTTGCAAAAGTTTGCAATGTATGGAGCCACCCCGAAGCTAAAGCTAAAACATAAGCGCTTCAAACGCAGTAAACACCAGAAACGGGAACTACGAATGAACACAAACTTACCGTCACAAGCCTTCACAAAACTGTCACAACCCGTCAGAAACCTTGGGGAGAATCAATAAAGCAACGCTCCCCTGGCTTCAAAAACACATCCCAAAGCAAAAGAACGCCCTTAAAAGGGCCTCCCTAGAAGGCAACATATGCTTTGGGAGGCTTCTGGGCAGCAGCCGAAGTCCGGACGGCGCACTGGAACATCTCTTGGAGCTTCCGCTGAACTTCACTACACTACGCCACGCTACTCTCTCTCTCTCTCTTTCTCTCTCTTTTTCTCTCTCTTTCTCTCTTCTCTCTTTCTCTGTCTTTGTCTCTCTCTCTCTCTCTGTTTTTTCTTTTTCTCTCTCTTTATCTCTCTCTCCCTCTCTCTCTCTCTCTGTCTTTCTCTCTCTTTCTTTCTCACCTCGGGGATTGCTCTAAACACCAGAAGGTGAAGCCTGAATCCGCAAACCATCTTGATGCCTTGCTCTGCTGAGGAAGCCAGCCTTCAGCAGGAAGTGCCTGGAAGCTGATGTGAGACTTGTGATGTGATCACCGGGCCAATCCCCACCAAGCCACACACGCCCACCACACATCACAAACCGTACGCTGCACCGTACACTGCGCATCCTGTTGTAGCCCCAAAGCCCCAAAGCCCCAAAGCCCCAAAGCCCCAAAGCCCCAAAGCCCCAAAGCCCCAAAGCCCCAAAGCCCCAAAGCCCCAAAGCCCCAAAGCCCCAAAGCCCCAAAGCCCCAAAGCCAAAGCCCCAAAGCCCCAAAGCCCCAAAGCCCCAAAGCCCCCCCAAAGCCCCAAAGCCCCAAAGCCCCAAGCCCCAAGCCCAAAGCCCCAAAAAGCCCCCCCAAAAAGCCCCCCAAGCCCCAAGCCCAAAGCCCCAAAGCCCCAAAGCCCGCCCCCCCCCCAAAGCCCCAAAGCCCCAAAGCCCCAAAGCCCCAAAGCCCCAAAGCCCCAAAGCCCAAAGCCCCAAAGCCCAAAGCCCCAAAGCCCCAAAGCCCCAAAAGCCCCAAAGCCCAAGCCCCAAAGCCCAAAGCCCCAAGCCCCAAAGCCCCCCCAAGCCCCAAAAAGCCCCAAAAAGCCCCAAAGCCCCAAAGCCCCAAAAACCCCAAAGCCCCAAAGCCCCAAAGCCCAAAGCCCCAAAGCCCCAAAGCCCCAAAGCCCCAAAGCCCCAAAGCCCCAAAGCCCAAAGCCCCAAAGCCCCAAAGCCCCAAAGCCCCAAAGCCCCAAAGCCCCAAAGCCCCAAAGCCCCAAAGCCCCAAAGCCCCAAAGCCCCAAAGCCTAGCCACAAAGGCCAACCCGCAAAAGTTTTTGGATGCACTGGAGCTGCTGTGACCTGGTCTTTTCAAAAGCATTTTTTGTCTACGTGTTTTGGACTTCCTAAGCTAAGGGTCCAAGGGTGCAAATAACGCCTTCTTTGACTTTCAGGCGACATCCAAGGTCGGTAGTTCAGCAAGTGGAGTTCGCCGCCGCTTGTCAGCAGTGTGGGATTTGGTTGGAAGGTTCAGTTTCGTTGGGTGGGGAACGAGGGGTTCCGTGATGCATGGGGCGTTTTGCGAAGGGGAGCTTCAATTGGTATTCGCAGTCTTGCTTTCTTGCTTCGGGCTCCCATCGGCTCTCCCATGCTCCCCCTCACAGTAGCATAGATTGAAGTCAGTTTGCAAAAGCTGATAGGAGCTTGCATCAGCTTGCATCAGCTTGCATCAGCTTGCATCAGCTTGCATCAGCTTGCATCAGCTTGCATCAGCTTGCATCAGCTTGCATAAGCCTGGTAGACTGCAGCTGAGGACCGGCGTTATCGACAAAGCTTCACCGAAAACTACCGGGTCCTCTTTCAGAAGTCGAAGCCCTTCGTCAGAAGAGTTTAGGGTCCAAACTCCAGGTTTCCAGGCTCAGGAAAGTTCAGGTTCGCTGAGTCTGAAACCCGCTCCTTAGGGGTTTTGGCTGAGGAACGCGTATTCGCGCCGAGAGTTAGGACAGTTAGGATTTCAGGGGTTGAGATGTTTCATTTTCGGAACTTCAAAAATAGCTACAGACGTAGCTCCACGATGTCGTCCAGTCCCCAAACCGACACAGGAGCCATCACATATATTGTTTTTTTGTTGCACAGGTGTACTTGAAAAGAGACTTGTCAGGCATCTGTACCGCCTGGAGCTTTGGGAAGCATGCCAAGATAACTTCGAGTCCGTGGCCGTGAACGGCCTTTTGGCGGATTGCAGTTGGAGAGCGCAGGCTCCTAAATGCGATGAAGGTTCGACACTGTTATTGCAGTTAGTGCCTATACATGGGATGTTGAGGCTTCGGGTTCGCAGTGTGCTCAACACTCCTTCTTATCGACACTTTCAGACGGCCATTTGCAATGACGTGCTTTACTTCAAGTGTCGCAAAGTGCCGCAATATCTGCTTCTTCCGATAGCACTCTGCTTCAACACCCCATCTGCTTCAGATGCTAAGTTTCTGGCTGCTGCCGTCAGGTTTCATGCTTTAGGGTAGAGGAATGTAGAGGAGCTGATGTCTGAAACCGAATTCCAAAAGCTTGTTGCCAAAGCCAAATCCCAAATCCCAAAACTGCTTAAACTCCACTATTACACTCCAACAGAAGGCCTAATCC